CGCAGACACTCAGCAAACGCCCGTGGAAGGGCCTTGTTTGGAGGCTTTGGTTCACCCTACAGGTCACTGCCAGGTGTGCCTGAAGCTTCGAGCAGCAGCAGGTACCGCTCACCCACCCCGGACCTTCTTCCGGGCTCCCTGCCCTGCCTCACTCCGTCCCTGGAGTGCCAGCCTCCTGAGCGTCTGCCACCTGACCAGGCTGTGCTCTTTCCCATTTCCAGACTTTGCCAATACTGAGCCTCCTGGCCTGGAACAGCCGCACGCCCGACAAGCTCCCATTCATCCTTCACAATCTGGTTCAGATGCCCCTGCTCAGTGGAGCCTTTTCCAGTGGCCCGGCTGTGCCAGCCACCAACCCCCAACCATTCCCACGGAGGCCTCTCAGTATGGACCTCTGCACCCCCAAAGTCACTGGATCAGAGCGTGTGTGGGAGGGTGAGGGTGGTCCCTATTTTGAGGCACCCACATCATTCACCAGGGACCAGACAGCAGCCTGGGGTGGGCGGCTGACAGCCAGCCCATGTGGCTATTACAGCGGTGAGCTCGTAAGGCCAGTTCTAATGTTGAGTATTAATCATAATTTGTAGGCTCATTTTAATGGTAACTATTTTTCTACTAAAGCACAATAACCAATGTCTGTTGACTATTCCATATTTTTTGTTAGTGACTAAGGAGCTCACAGTTGAAACTGTGCCAATGAATCAGTCAGAGAACTGAACCTCTGCGTTTTCCTTGAAATAAATCTGGCTACAAATTGGTGGGTGGCCTTCTGGGCTGGGGTACCCCATGGCCATGCACCTGAACCTCACAGGCGTGGCCCTGGCTGTGGTGGACAGAGGGGTGCCTGTCCAACCCAGCTGACTAAGGCCCCTGAGTCTTGAATACTTTTCCAGGCCCTGAGATTTAATAAGTGAGCAAGCATTCTTAAAACACTCTCGCACTTAATTACAAATACTGCCGTGTGTGTGTGTGTGTGTGTGTGTGTGTGTGTGTGGTGTATATATCTCTCTGTGTGTGTCAGTGTATGTATCTGTGTGTGTACAGCCCTGTGTATCTGTGTATATACACCTCTTTTTGTGTGTCTGTGTGTAAGTGTATACCTCTGTGTGTCTGTGTGTGTATACCTCTCTTTGTGTGTCTTTGTGTAAGTATATACCTTTGTGTGTGTATCTTTATGTATACACCTCTCTTTGTGTGTGTGTACACCTCTCCTTGTGTGTCTATGTGTAAGTGTATACCTGTGTGTGTGTGTCTGTGTGTGCAGTGAGAGGGAGATAAAATGATAAGGCAAATGTAGCCCAGTGTAAACAGTTGGTGATGCTGGGTGAAGGGAACATGGGAGTTCTTTGAGCTGTTTTGGTAACTTCTGTGTGTGAAGTACTTAAAAACAAACAATTAGGATGGACAGGAGGGAGCAAAGCCATGGGAGACAAGTGCATTCCAGGACCCTGAGAGCACAGATAAGCCCTGGTCAGCGGTCACACTGGGGACCCGGCAGCGCACTGACACTGCAGGCCTGGCGCCAGGGGGAGGACTCTGGGTTTTCTCAGGAGTGAGGGACATGAGGCTGTCTACACTAGGGAGCTTCGGGCTCAGATAAGGCCTGTGTTCCCAGCGTCACCCTCCTGTGGGAGGTCCCCATGGTGATGAGGGTGGTGGTTGGGTGGCTGTTGAGGCCGAAATGCTACCCGTGGGCCGTGTGATGGGCTGTGAGCCCACCTTTTTGCCTGCAGCTTGGGCACCATCACAGCGCCCGCTGTGCCCATCCAGATGAAGTGGGGTCAAGCAGTTGGTGCCAGAGCCACTGCACGTGCGGAAGCTCCCATTCGCGGGCTTGCCGTCTCATTCAGTGCTGGGGCACCCGGAACCCACCCGGAGGCTCAAGGCTGACATTTTCCTTCCCGTGTTGATTCCCCCCATGATATTCTGTGGGAGCTTACACTTTATTTCTACTTGAAAACTGGAAATAAGTCAACACGTGAAGAATTCTTCACCCAAGTGGTCACAGTGCCTGCACTGCTACTTAAAAGTTATTCCCACTTAAAGGGGTTTTGGGATGAAGTGTATAAAACCCAGATGTTTGGAGGGGACATTAATTTGGGCAGTTCCATCAGTTGACATCTGATTGATTTTTCCCGTTCTGTCTGCTAGGGGTGCTGGGGTTTCTTAACTCACTGAGGGTCCCCCTGGGGGATTCAGGACTGTGGTCAAGTCTCGCTGAATTAGGGTGTCCGGCTGGAGATTGAGAGGTAGGAGTTGGGTTGTCAGACAGGCTGGATTTACATTTCCACTCTCCGTTCACTACCGGCTCCAACCCCATGAAATATAAATGCAAAACCAAAGAGTTTGGGGACATGAATTCATCAAAATCAGCCTGAAGTCGGAAAACTTGTGAGCAGTGCAGGGAACCTGCTCCAATACTGGAGCCTCAGGAGCCGTGTGCCTGTCCATGGGACACAGGGGCCGCCGGAGGGCAAACCCTTCCTGACAGCCATGACATGTCCTAGCCACGGCCCCTGTCCACCCAGAGTCCCCGGCTCAGACCTCACCTCCCATGTGCTGCGGCAGCCATGGGGCCATGAATAAAGGGGTGTGGGCTATGGGGTCAGAGGAAAACAGGGTGTGGTCAGTCACATCTCACCACACACACCTGCCACTGAGCCATCCTTTCTTGTCGCCTGGGAATAAAGGTAACAACACCCCCTCATCTGAGTCTACAGGGGCTGTGATCTCACATGGTGTTTAACATCAGCATTCTTGGATCTAACGTGCTATTGATTGTAAGAGGCGCTGATACTTTGTAAATCTCAGGAAAAGAAAAATAAACTCTGCCAATTAAGTGATCAGGCACAATGAAATATACACTGCATCTCAATTTTAGAAATATTAAATGCAAAAACAAATGCATTCTGGAATTAAGAAATCACCGTGCTATTAATTAACCTTTAATTTCTTTCCAGAGGAGATGGGGAAGCAACATTTTGAAGTAAACATAAGGAGCAGTGTTTTAAAATGCCACTTGGAAAATGAAAACAACTTAAGGATGACATCAATAGGGGTCATTATGGTCCCTATGTAAATGGAATAAAAAGCAACATGTACCCTAACCGGTTCGGCTCAATGGATAGAGCGTCGGCCTGCGGACTCAAGGGTCCCAGGTTCAATTCCGGTCAAGGGCATGTACCTTGGTTGCGGGCACATACCCAATAGGGAGTGTGCAGGAGGCAGCTGATCGATGCTTCTCTCTCATCGATGTTTCTAACTCTCTATCCCTCTCCCTTCCTCTCTGTAAAAAATCAATAAAATATTTTTTTTAAAAAAGCAACATGTAGATATACTGTATATGTATATATATATAAGATGATACTGAAAAATATTAAAAAACCCATTAAGTGAACAAATCCAAAGGAAACCATTATGAATACTATAAACTTATTTGTGGAGAGTAATCATGTATGTGTGTGTGTGTGTGTGTGTGTGTGCGCGCGCGCACAACACACAGATGCAAGTGTACAACACACACAAACCCCTGGTTGTTTGTACAGAGGAGGTTTCTGGAAGGAGACACACGCATCATCACCTATGGCTTTCTCTGGGGCCTGGTGATGTGAGTCTGGCTGAGGTTTGGAAGAACCTTACTTTCCACATGCACATTTAATAATGTCATTTGAATTTCTGAAGCTGCGCCCATGTACCACTTTTATAATAAAAATGCAATCAGCAAGCGTTAAATTTCTAAAAGTTCAAGTAGGTGCAGTATTCATTGCTTTTGATAGTTTTGTTTTTCTTTTCAACTTTTGCATTTCCCTGTAATAGGACAATGAAATGGGGAAGCAGTTTCACTAATTTGTGATGCTTATAAATTTTTCTTTATATGTTTTAATTTATAATTAATCTGTAAATAGACTCATTCCCTGATTCTTATATTTTTTAAAAATCCTCACCCGAGGATATTTTTCCCATTAATTTTCAGAATGAAAAGGAGGGATGAGGAAGGGGAGAAGGGGAGAGAGAGAGAAAGAGAGAGAGAGAGAAACATTGATGTGAGAGAGAGACACATCAACTGGCTGCCTTCCCTAGGGGCCCCCATCAGGGGCAGAGAGTGAACCCACAACCGAGGTATGTTCCCTTGACAGGAATCAAGCCCGCGACCCTTCCGTCCACGGGCCAATACTCTAATCACTGAGCAAACTGGCCAGGGCCACTCCCTGATTCTTAAGGGTGGTTTGAATTCTCCTAAATCGTCAATAAGGTGCAGACCGAGTGACTTCCTTCTAAACCATTTGCACTCAACTCGCTTGAGATCCAATTCTCTTTTGCACAGCAGAGTTGAAGGGCCACTTTTAAGGTAAGCTGGTAAAACCAGATATCCCTTTAAAACAGTAAGCCGCTGTGTTATGTACCTCTAGGAAAAGTGTCAACTTACCTTACTTGGGTTTCTTTTCCTGGAAGATAACTCTCGGTTAATTTCTGCACACCCACTAACCCTGGCTTGGACCCTGGAGTGATGGGAGAACTCCTCACCCACTCTGTCTGTCTTTCTGCCTCTCTTGATTGAAAAGCATCAGTAGCAGCAAATGTTAGTTCCGTTATTCAGAAACCTGATGTGAAAAACACTTTGATGCAATATGCCTAGTAGACAATGGCCCACCGGTTCTTTCATCAACCTGGAGGGAGGCCTTCACACTTCCCTAAGAAATGGAAAGAGATGTATTCTATCAAAACTATCCTGTCCTGTTCCACAGCCCAGGACACCAGGGTGCCCCGGCAGGGGAGGCAGGGTGCCTGGGGGAGACCAGGTGGTCTCAGGAAACCTCAACGTCTGAGTGTCCTCTGAGTGTCTGCGAGCAAGCATCCCCGAATACCGGGAATCCCGAGGGCTCTGGGCGCCTCGCCTGGCTGTGCTCGGAGGCAAACTTTCAATGAAAAGATGTCACCATCAACAAGATAGAGCCCAGCTAAGCCGCCAAAGCGCCATGTTAAACATCAGTCACCAACTGCTGTTTTATTCACACCAGATGCTACTTCAAAAAGATAGTGTCCAAGGTTATTTTTAACAAGAGCACGTTATCTCCTTTTCAAGATTCTCAGAGAGAAACATGGGCCACAGGGAGCAGCTCTGTTTCCTTCAGCAAATCCGGGTGGAGCCGGCCACAGGCCCTCTCCGCAGCCTGGGCCGCACCCACGCACGCGTGACAGCTGCAGACCCCGAGAAGAAAGATGCGGGTGCCGGCGTGAGAACTGTGTTGCCTGGTTTCCTCACTTAGTTGTTCCAAAAGGTTGGCTTTAAAGATCTAGTGTGATTAAAAACGTAGGCTGGCGGGTTAAACGCAGTGCTTTTGGCTGCATCCTGAAGGCGCGCATACTGACTGCTCTGATGGGGAAACACAGCCGTGAGAACGCAAGGGCAGCAGGCGCCTGGGAGGGACGGCCCGGCTGGGGCGGGGGAGCAGGTGGGCAGTGGCTGAAGTGCATGTCTAAGAGCTAGAAACAGACAGTGGCGGAAGGTTCTGCACATGGAGGAGGCCCTTCTGAGCAGAGCCCTTGTGGTTAGTTGAAGTGAGTGAGCGAAAAGCATTAGCTATGCAACAGAATAAAATACACCAGTTGTCCAAGAGACTACTTGCGACCACTGTATGTGGAGACTTGAGGGTAGCAAATCCAGGGTGACCTCCATCATGCACTGGATTTGGGCCAGGATAGGGAAAATACTCTTGTAGGACAAATAATGTATTTTATAAGCATGGTCAATGTGGCATGAGCTCTCAGTGCACCGAGAGTTGGGGGAGCTGCACATGGACTCCCCTGGGGCCCCGGGGCTGGGAGGGCTCCCTGGCAGGGGAGGTGGCTTTACTTCTCCTCCGTGGACAGGCGGTGGAGAGCCTCGCCCAGGTGCAGCAGCTCCGCCCTGTGCTCCAGCTCCTGGTGCAGGCCTTCGGGAACAGCTCCCAGGCCGTGGAGCAGTCCGAACAGGCAGCCCGCGATGGCCCCCGTGGCTCCACTCTCACCTGGAACGGAAACACAGGTCCTCAGGATTCCAAGGGCAGCGTGGGAAGGGGCACATCACTGTGAACTTGACACTAACCCAGTGATGGCGAACCTTTTGAGCTCGGCGTGTCAGCATTTTGAAAAACCCTAACTTAACTCTGGTGCCGTGTCACATATAGAAATTTTTGGATATTTGCAACCCTAGTAAAACAAAGACTTATATTTTTGATATTTATTGTATATATTTAAATGCCATTTAACAAAGAAAAATCAACCAAAAAAATGAGTTCGAGTGTCACCTCTGACACGCGTGTCATAGGTTCGTCATCACTGCACTAACCAGGGCCTCTTTGCAAGGGCCTGTCTCAGAGATGCTCCTGGGCTGGTGTCTCTATAGCAGTAAGCACCAGGGCTTTCTCAGCCTCCTCCCCCTCCCTCATGCCAAACCCCAGTTTTGCCGATGGGCCCTGGGTGGCTTTTGCTGTCCCCAATTAAGGGGACAGGTGCTCCCCCTCCGTCCCTCCACAAACACCCTGACAACACACAAGGTGTGCAGATGCCTTTGTTATCATGGGTTCAGGGTGCCCAGGAAGTCCTCCCCTCCAGGCTCTGCAGGTGGCCAGAGTCTACGCGGGCTCCTCACAAGCTGTCTGCACCTCACGAAGACTCCTGTATGCCCCCCACCCCTGCTCTCAGCTAGGGGTGCTGGATTGTGTGGGTCACTGTGCCCCTTGGAAAGTCCCTTCTCCCACGTTCTTGGCCACCCTGCTGCCCTTGGCTCCCAGCACTCTCTCCTGGGCTCCTCCTCCCCCAGTGGGAGCCCCCAGGCTCTCAAAGAAGCCCCCTGCTGGCCTCAGGAAGTGCAAACTTCTCAATCATCTCAGTACCAGCAGCAGCACTCTGCTCTGACAACAGCCACTCTAATAGCGATGGAATCCATGCCCACCCGGAGGTAACATATACAGGAATCCTCTTTACACTCACAGGAGACAATGGCACAGGGAGTGAGGCAAGGCTCCCAGCCCTGCAGCAACGATCACTGCTGCTCAGTGGTGCAGTGGGGAACTCCTGGCACCATGTACCCAACTGCCTCACAGCCCTGTGAGTTGGGTTTGATCCTCTCACCTCACAGAGAGACTGGCCTGGAACTGCACTTGAACCCAGGGCTGCCTGATTCTAAAGTGCAGCCTCTCTGTGATTGCAGAGTCTGCAGAGGTGAGGGACACGGCGATGGTGATGGTAGAGGTCAGAACGCTGCACGGCCAGCACCAGTGGAACCCGCGTGCTCTTCAACCAGCAGCCACGAGGGAGAGGAGCCTGCACCCCAGCGACCTGAACACCACATCTCTCCAAGCTCAGACCCTCAGGGCCACCCAAGGCAGTGCGGCAACCTGCCTGCAGTCTGTGATGTCTGTGCACGAGTAGCTGGAGCCAGCACCCTGCCCAGAGAGGAGCCCATGGTCTGGGGCTCCATCACTCCTGACACCTCAGACATCCTGACAGAATGCACAGGGATAGGGATGGGGTGCTGGCCTCTTGGAAGTTCAAGGCCATTGAAGAAGGGAATCTCACCTCCGTGAAACATGGCCCGGTGGCAGAGCTCTGTCCAGTTGTTCCCGGCTGCTAAGAGAGCGTCGTAGGCAATCATGGGGGCATCGTGGCCCCGTCGCCCCCCTCGGCCTTCTGAGCTCCATTTCTTGTAGGTCTGAAGACAGAGCCAGGGGTCAGAGGCATGAACCAAAAGCAGAACCGTGTCAGAACCTGAGCTCCCCGGGTCCGTCCAGTGGGCTGTCCATGTACCCACTGAGCACTGATGGAGTACCACCCTGTGCCAGGCACTGCTGGGCTGGGGAGGGGCAGCGAGCAGGAAAGGCTCACTCCTCATGGCTCCTACATGGCAGCCATTCTGAGACGGACATTCCCAGATAAACAAGCACCGACAGCGTGTCAGGCAGCCCTGAACCCCACGAGGACAAATAGAGCTGGGCAAAGGGGCTGAGGCGCTGTGACAGGCATTAGACACCACACCCGGGGAGCCACTTGCTGGTGACATTCGGTCTGAGTAGGGCAAAGGGACAACGAGATCTTCCATGACCCCTCCCACACGCAGCTGTTCCCTCAGCCCATCTGTATTGCTTGGGGCTAAGATGGCAATAACAGCCCAGGTGAGGTGGACCCCGTGGGCAGTAGGACCCTGAAAGCTCCCGGTCCCTGGCTGCCATCTCAGACACAGCGAGGCTTACCTTGTCCCTCTCCTCTGCATCGTAATGGTCAGGGAAGGTGGCTTTACTTTCGGTGTCTTCACTGAGCTTCCTCTCTTCCAAGTAAAACTGCCATTTAGCTTCAAAGTAAAACCAGTGCTCCTGGTACTCTAAATGCAGAGAACAGGGTGGCAGGATGCCATGGCCATCAGCCGGGGTGTGGGGGCCGCAGGAGGGTGAGTGGGGCCTGGGGCAGAGGGCCTGGGCTCAGAACGTTGTGGGCAGTGAGCGGGAAGGAACAGAAGACACAGGGCAATGCTCTTTATCCCGGGTGGGGACAAGGGGATGGGAAGAGACCTGGCATCTGGCCTTCGTGATGGCTCTAGACCAGGGGTTCTCAAACTTTTTAAACAGGGAGCCAGTTCACTGTCCCTCAGACCGTTGGAGGGCCGGACTATAGTTTAAAAAAAAACTATGAACAAATTCCTATGCACACTGCACATATCTTATTTTGAAGTAAAAAAACCAAAATGGGCCGTAGTTTGAGGACCCTGCTCTAGACATTCAAACATGCTCGTATTTGTAGCTACTCTGAAACAAAAGCAAGGAAGATGGTGATGGGGGACAAAAGCCATTCAAAGAATTGCTTAACTCTCTTCTGAAACAAGACAGTGACTGCAACATTTTTAAGTGCATTCTTTGAAAATTCTGAACCTGGGTATTTTTATTAATTCAACACTGCCTGCAAGGTAGGGAGAGAGGACGCTTTACTATCCTAATGACCAGCTCGACATCTAAACCCCAGAGGGGGTGAAGCAAGTTTTCTGGGGTCATTTGGTGAAGAGGACGTTGACTCAGAAATGAGCTGGAGCAGCAGCTACACTTGCTGGTAGCGGATAGGAGATGGCTCTCTGGGTCTCAGAGCTCCTAGGAAGTCACGAGGGCTTCACTGTCCCTCCACCAAGGGTGCTGGGTTAACACACTTGACCTTGTCCTCCTTGAGAGCAGGCAGGACCACGGCTCCATGGATCGCCCAGGATGCCAACTGCGTAGAGTGGTTAAGTGGCCAGTGAGGCCCAAGGGAATCAACCGACTCAAGAGGAAAACAGATGCTGCCGTGTCTGCTTATGGTTGGGGAGCTGGGGAAGAGAGCGGGGACCAGAGAGGGGCTAGGTGGTCACGGGCTGCAGGGGAAAGAAGTGTTCCTCTGCCCTTCTAACCACAGGGACAGCAGGAGGTGCCTGGGGTGGGTCGTGGGATGACATTCCAGGTTGCTGCAGAATGCCAGGCTCTTGGAAACAGTGGCATGACTCTGTTTTACAAAACTAAAGGTGAGGCCCATTTAAGGTCTATTTCAGTGAAATAAGATGAAAAGTGAGAGGCAGAAGCAACAGGGCAGGGACCAGAATCCACGAATCCCATTAGCCCTGCAGAGACCCGTGTTTCTAACAGAGAGCTCTTGCTGGTGTGGGCGTAAGCTCAGACAGAGCCTCCTTCCCAGTAAATGGCCAGTCACCTTTGGAAGCAGATCTTCAAACACAAAAGCATGGAACTAACTTGCTAGCTGTCCTTGCTGCCGATGGATGTTGTCCTAGACTTGGTAGAGGCCCCAGAAGAATATTTTCTGGGGTGCTCTATAGAACATTATTTTTCTGGATGATTTTAGGTATTTTGTTAAAAAGGGATTAAGAAGTACGAATGGAGAAAAAAAAAGAAGTACGAAGGGGCCATTACAAAATAGTCATGAGGATGTAAAGTACAACATAGAGAATATGGTCAATAATATTGTCATAATTATGTATGGGGCCAGGTAGGTACGGTGGGTCGTGGGATGACATTCCAGGTTGCTGCAGAATGCCAGGCTCTTGGAAACAGTGGCATGACTCTGTTTTACAAAACTAAAGGTGAGGCCCATTTAAGGTCTATTTCAGTGAAATAAGATGAAAAGTGAGAGGCAGAAGCAACAGGGCAGGGACCAGAATCCACGAATCCCATTAGCCCTGCAGAGACCCGTGTTTCTAACAGAGAGCTCATGCTGGTGTGGGCACAAGCTCAGACAGAGCCTCCTTCCCAGTAAATGGCCAGTCACCTTTGGAAGCAGATCTTCAAACACAAAAGCATGGAACTAACTTGCTAGCTGTCCTTGCTGCCAATGGATGTTGTCCTAGACTTGGCAGAGGCCCCAGATGAATATTTTCTGGGGGTGCTCTATAGAACATTATTTTTCTGGCTGATTTTAGGTATTTTGTTAAAAAGAAATTAAGAAATACAAATGGAAAAAAAAAAGAAGTACGAAGGGGTTGTTACAAAATAGTCATGAGGATGTAAAGTACAACATAGAGAATATGGTCAATAATATTGTCATAATTATGTATGGGGCCAGGTGGGTACCAGATTTATGGGGGGAAGCTAACCACTATGCTGGTACACCTGAAACTAATCCTAATATATAAAGAGCCAGGGTCCGTAGCGTCCAAAACGACCGAATGGACGACCGAATGCCAGACCGCGCGTGCAGCAGGCTCGGGTGGGTGGGGACTGGCGAGTGGGCTGAACTGCTGACCTCTTGGTCCCTCCTGGGTCGCGGGTGCCCCAACAACCCCTGGCCAGCGCCGCAGTGACCCAGCACTGACTGCCACTGCCAAGGCGGGTGCGATGCAATTGGTTGGGGGGCCCCACCATTGCCCCACGATCGCCCCCCAGAGGGAGGCCCAGGCTACCCGGCCAGTGGTGGTGGGCGGGGCCTCTCTCTGCGGGGCGATCAATCACGGGGCTCCCGGACTGCAAGAGGGTGCAGGCCGGGTTGAAGGACACCCCCCCCCCCCAGTGCACAAATTTCATGCACCAGGCCTCTAGTATAAAATAATACTGACTGTTAACTGTGATTGACAAATAAAAAATTAAAATTAAGAAAGGGTTCTGCCATAGAGGTTCATAAAGCTCTGAGTTAAACAAATGTAAAATTAAACAGAAAGAATAAAGTCTCAAAATTATCTGACCAATGACTCTTCTCGTTTCTGTTCATGGAAGATCTTTGACTATTTGTTCTTCAGAAAACACTGGGGAAAACCATTTTGATACTAGAGTTCTGGGGAACTGTTGATTAGTATAATGCGAATAATGCAGTGACTGTGTAGTTTAATACACTCAGGTTATTTACTTCTTTCAGATGGTTTAAGGTGAACCTACTTGGGGGAAGGGGGGGCGGGGGGATGACTAACCCAGTGATCAGAAGCCAGGGATAACAATGACAGACCAGATGAAAAAAACAGTGTGGGGTTGCCACCTGTGTTCTATAATTAAGCTTGTGGAGGGTGACTGCTTAGGGTCACTTTGCTGTGAACATGGAGGCTTCTTATTTCTCACTGGAACAGGGACCTTGGGAAGAAGTGTTTCCCAGCATTGGGTCCAGGCAGGGATAAGTGCAAAAGTCTCCTTGAAAAGTTGTTCTAAAGTTCCCACTCAGCCTTCTAGAATATAGCTCCTGGGGCTTGGAGGGTGCAGTAAAGTGATTTGTTGGTTCTGTGTTTCAGAACTTCAGCCTCAGGCTATTCTGAAAAATCAAGCATCCAGTGCCTACATTCAAATCCTTCAACTCCCTCTCCTCCAGGACAAATTGGATACTTTATTCTAGAAATTTTCTTCCACAGTTTTAGAATGTCAAAGGCCACATGAAGCTGTCTGTGTTCCTCATGCAGCCCATGACCCTCTGTGGCTCAGCCGCCCGAGGAGAAAGCCAGGGGTTGCCTGGTCCTGTGCCCGCTCTCCCTCGGATCCCAGGGGGAAAGGGGAGGAAGCCGAGAGGAGCTCAGAGGCCAAAACGCCAGCAGCACCGTGATCCCCTAGGACCTTTGCTGGGCTGGCTGCGTTTGGCTGGGTTGACTGTATTCGTGGCCAAAAAGAGTGAAGCATTTAATGACTCAACTGGGACAGATGGAGCTTCCTGGGCCTTCATGTCATCAGTGGGCACAGACCTCTGTCTGGCCTTCATGTGAGAGACTTTAAGTCCCCTGGGTTAGGCACAGCTGTCCATTAGGTCCTTGGAGCAGTGTCAGCTAGCATCTCTCATTCCTCTCTGAGACATGGGCTACTTAAGGATAATTTGGAAATCTAAATCTAAGTACAGTAAATTCTCACTTAACATCTTCAATAGGTTCTGTGACTTTAAGAGAAATGATGTATAAGGAAACCAATTTTACCATAGGCTAATGGATATAAACAAGACTCAAGTTCCTCATCAATGATTTAACAAAATGACATTGAATGAAACACATACTTCAAGGATCTGCTGTAATGCACCCATTCTTCCTGGTACTTCTGTGGATCTCCCTGGGCTTCTTTGTGGGATCCGCCTGCTCACATGGACCCTACAGGGATGCTCTTGGTGGGGCAAATGGACCTTGACCTCCTTGGGAGCCAGGTCTGTGCAAATTTGCACTGAGTGTGACCTGAGACCAAGCTCTAACAGCCTCCTTTCCTATAAGTGGCAGGAAAGGAGGCCAGGCTCACCTGCCAGGTGCCGGATGGTCTTCTTACAATATTCTTCAGCCAGCGGGACCGTCTTCATCATGTCTCTCCCCCACTGCTCCAGCGGTTTGCCTTGTATGGCATAAGATGCAAACAGGGCTGTGCATAGGGCCCCAAGGAAGCCTGGAGGGCGGAGGGGAGAGAACAACAATGGCACCTGAGCCATAACCCTGCTCTGGGCTGCTGGATGTGTGTTAACAGAGGCAGGACCATGGGCAGTTGCTTCATGCATTTTGAGCTTTTTGATCTTTTGTTTCCTCTCTGCACAAAAAGGCACAGCACCCATCTTTCAAGGGCTTGTGGGGACAGATGATTCTAATCACAAACGAGTGCTTGCCAGTTCATAGTAATGGCCACACCAAGACTGTGCCCATCAGAGGAAGGGCACTGCCATCTTTTTTTTTAAATTGATTTCAGAGAGGGAGAGAGAGATAGAAACATCAATGATGAGAGAGAATCACGGATCAGCTGCCTCCTGCACGCCCCCCACTGGGGATCGAGCCCACAACCCAGGCATATGCCCTTGACTGGAATCGAACCCAGGACCCTTCAGTCCGCAGGCCGATGCTCTATCCACTGAGCAAACCGGCCAGGGCAGGGCACTGCCATCTTGCTGAGACACTCTTTGGCCACTCCTCGAGGCATCAGTTAGGGGTCATTTCAAGGGCAGGGGACAAGCATCTCGTTCTCAAGCCCAGGGTTCAATCACTGTCCTGTCCACCTGCCATCACTCCCCCTCCTCTCATGGAGTGTTTCAGCTCATGTCTGGGAAATGCACACTGTAATAAAAATTCTGACACTTGCTGTCCAAGGTGGTTAAAAAATGGAAAAGGAGCCCTAGCTGGTTAGGCTAAGTGTTAGAGCATTGGCTCAAGGACTGAAAGGTTCTGGGTTCGATTCCGGTCAAGGGCATGTACCTTGGTTGCAGGCTTGATCCCCACCCCGGTCAGGGCCTGGGGTGAGTGCAGGAGGCAACCAATAGATGTTTCTCACATCGATGTTCCTCTCTCTGTCTCTCCCCATCCCACCAAAAAAAAAAAAAAAAAAAAAAAAAAAAAAAAAAAAAAACCAATGAAAAAAATATCCTCTGGTAAGGATTAACACAAAAAAAATTATAAAGGAGAGTGGACTCAATTGAAAAGGAGAATGCCCATCTTAGCGTTAATTGAGTACAATCAACCCTTTAAAACATTTTCAGTCATCATTCTAGAAATACATAAATGACTTAGCTATTAAACATGGAAAACAACATTTCTTTAATAAGATTGGGTAATATATTAGCCAATGTTTTAGGTGTTTAAATTCTCAACCCAGACCCTTTTTTTTTGGATACAATTTTAAATTTAATTTTACTTGAATTTCACAAAACAAAAAGAAAGAGAAGTTGATGGAATTGTTGAATTAATATAAATATTTCCTCTAGACAAGAGACACTTCCCCTAAAATATTCCTTCAAGATTAAAAAACAACAACAACAACAACAAAAAAAACAACTGTGAGAACATTAGAGGTTGAAGTCATTACAATTTTTCCCAAGGACATATTTCCCTTTTTGTTTGTATAGACTGACTTTTGCTGTGAAAGATGAGTTCGTTGGCCCAGCCACACTGGCATGAACATGTGGTTCTGAAAATATTGAGCCCATCTGTACCAGTTAGTAACTGTCAGCCACTGACTCTCTCCAGGGATCTCCCCTCCCCCATCTGCC